AAGAAAATAACGACAAACACACCGTCGCAAGGAACCTGAATTGATATTGTTTACTAAAATCATGCATTGCGCGCCCAACCTACAGATTAGTCAGTTATTCGCTAACAGATAATTGACTCATTAGTAGGTCGTGTTGATTTCCAAAATTAGCTGAAGGCTCTTAGCCAATGAGACGACAGATAGTGGTACAATGTATAATAATATAGGTTATTGCAATTGGCGTCTGGCTCTTATCAATGCCAATATCTCGTCTAACTTGCCTGTGAACATCATAAGGCTGTTCGGCTACAACAAGATCAGTAAAAAATCTTCAAAGTAAAGTAGTAGATTATATAGACTGAAACAGGAAGGACACAAGCAATGGACCTTAAAACACAGAAACAAACCAAAAGGATCGAAACCCACCAATCAGAAATCGCAAACGGCCAAGGTCAGATCTGTTTAAGAATAGCAAAGCTAGGCTTTAGAAATAGGAAGGAAGAGAAGCATGAAAACGTTCTCTGAGGCTGCGTATTTTTAGGAGAATCCAAAAACAGATTTGTGATCTCGGGTCATATGGTTTCTTCTATCACTACCAAAAACAAGGGAAGATCCGAAAGAGGATCATTTACCATGACATTAACGGTATGTCTTCGTGTTCCTCATAGTGAGGAAAATAGAGGGAAAAAAAAAACAACAAACTGATCATCGCGGCGAAGACAAGTAAGAAAAGCAACATAACTACGTATGAATATACGAAATGTGTATTATTTAGGTTTGAAACACAAAACGTTTCTCGAATGGGATACACCTTAGGATAGTAAAATTGTAAGAATTTAAAACTGAAGTCGTGTGTTTTTTTGTTTGTTTTTGCTATTGTGTTTTTGTTTTAATTACTTCGAAAATAAACCGGCGAAACCAGACACAGACACATACGTACAAAAAACATGACAGGCGAGGGTTAAGAAACAGTCTACGAATGTACTAGTGGCTCAAAGTTAAGGCACCACCAACATGGGTTCAGTGAGAGTGTCATACTACTGTGTACCATTTTTGTTGGGAAAACCGAGTGTCCAAAATACCTTTTTCAAGTCCTTTTCCCCCAAAAATGCCCGGATTGACCGGATTGTGAATCTCAAAAATTCGAATTTGGATTTGATCCAAAGAATTCACTCAAGGTGTGGATTGTATGGATTCATGACCCGTTTTTGCATTTGCCTAAGAAACGCACCCTCAGTTAAACTGCTTGCAAAATACGTTATTGAGGACTTATACAAAACATGGACTCCCGGCACCCCTCTGGACCTAAACCATGGACCTCTTGGTGAACCTGGTCCATCGACTACCCACGTGGACGACTTCTAATTTTTGAAGATAAATTTTTACCAATTTTTTTTTTCTCAATTCCATTCATGGGTTTGGTTTAGTTTGGACGTACTTTTAATATACGGGCTTTGAAGATTTTTGTTTTACCTTGACTTCACCTTCTTCCATAAGCTCGCCAAAAAAATTCCATTACTGGATCAAGCCATCATGACCTCATACTAAGACATTAACGCAAAAATATCGTCTCCTGTCGTCTGTTTCTCTTTTTACAAAACCAACAACTTAATTATTTACTGATATCAATTCTGACAAGCGCCCATAAACTGGGCGAGGGAAGAACAATGAGGAAATAAGAAATATAATACTCAAACAACTGGAAACAATTTCTTAACAGATGTGTCGTCATCAGAACCCGCAGTGATACCAACAGCAGTTTCCACAACTTCACGAACTTCAACAAACAAGCCCTCTCAACAAGGTGAGTAATTGTCTGCGTTGTTCCTTCAACTTGTATTGGACTCGTTCTTTTGTTTTGTGTTTGTTTTCGTTGTTTCTTTTATTTATTTTTTATTTTTTTCACCTTTAAACTTTGTCTTGGTCTATAAACTCACCAAACAAACAAACAAACAAATTTCCAATATCTAGCCATTCGTGATCTCACAATAAGCTATCGTCTCTACCTTCTGATTCTCCTTTACAAAACCAATAACTAATAACAAATAACAATTCCGCCAAAAGAACGTAAACTGGACGGGGGAAACATAGTAATGATGATATTAAAAATAAATAAATACTCAAATAACTGAAAACAAACTAGTGTGAGTAGTTATTATTGTGCACCAACATGATGTATCGTCATCAGAAGCCACAGTGATACCAACAGACGTTTCCACAGCTTTACTAGATTCAACAATCAAACCTACTCCACTCGGTGGGTAATTTTCTGTGTCTTTGCTTCGACTTGTATTGACCGCCNGTTTGTTTTCGTTGTTTCTTTTATTTATTTTTTATTTTTTTCACCTTTAAACTTTGTCTTGGTCTATAAACTCACCAAACAAACAAACAAACAAATTTCCAATATCTAGCCATTCGTGATCTCACAATAAGCTATCGTCTCTACCTTCTGATTCTCCTTTACAAAACCAATAACTAATAACAAATAACAATTCCGCCAAAAGAACGTAAACTGGACGGGGGAAACATAGTAATGATGATATTAAAAATAAATAAATACTCAAATAACTGAAAACAAACTAGTGTGAGTAGTTATTATTGTGCACCAACATGATGTATCGTCATCAGAAGCCACAGTGATACCAACAGACGTTTCCACAGCTTTACTAGATTCAACAATCAAACCTACTCCACTCGGTGGGTAATTTTCTGTGTCTTTGCTTCGACTTGTATTGACCGCCATAGTCTAGCTGATACAGCTAAATCATTCTGAATCCATTAGTACCGGATAAATACATGTGTAACAATCTACAGATAGTCTTACAGTTGAACCCTTTTGATACAGACACTGATCTGAGGGCGCCATAGATAGTACCGGTAACAATGGCCGTTTTTATCCTACAGTCGCATTATCTGCCTGGACAAACTTGTGCAAGCATTTGTATTCCGTCTGGTTATGCGTCTTAAGTATAAAGACGGTCACAGGACGCATTATGTGTCTGAACGAAGTATCCTTCGTAGTACGTCTTGAACGACGCACTACGAAAGGCATACAAATGTTTGCAAAAGTTCGTCCCGATGGTTAAAAAACGGCCAATGACACTTGATTCCTCTTCTAACTTGCTCTATCAACATCATATGTCTGTTAACAAAAGCAGGAGCCTATGGCTGCTGTCTAGGAGGTCACTCACTTCTTGTTTATTCAACTAAAGCTTTTAAAGTGAAAGGAATGGAAGCATGAAAATGATTTCTGAGTTAAACTATTTGCAAAATACGTCATTGATGATAATTTATGCATTAGGTTCGGCACGTGAAAATGTCGACGTCTGAATCTAAGCCGTTCCAAGTCGCAATACTAGGCCGGGTTAGGCTGAAACAACGGCCAAGCAGTTCCAAATTGAAATAGAATTTATGCAGACGCCGAATGTTTCGCGTACTTAATTAATTCCATGTAATTAGGCTCGGCACATGTGAAGTTCAGTGTCATAACTAGGTTAAGACTAAGTTATAAGTTGGACTGTTTCTTTAAAAGTCTTTTAGGCCCTGTTCAGACACCACCCCACTTACGTGCCGAACCTAATTGAATAGAGGAGGAGAAGTGTAACGTCACGTTACCATGGTAGCAAAGTTTTTGGATCACAGCAATGGAGAGCTTAAGTAACGACCATAGCCTGCGAGCAAGCTCTCCTATTTGGGCGAGTGAAACGAGTCTCGCGAGAACGCGCGAGCGAGCGGCGAAGCCGCAAGAGGCAGAGGAAAGGAGAGCTTGCAACGATCCCTTACAAATTGTTATTTGTACTTCGCCCAGATGAAGGGAAATACCATTGGCTGAAAAATGGCGTTCCGGAAATCAAAGTTGATTGATAACAGGCCAAGCTGGCACCCGCTTCGTCTGTGTGTCAGATTTGGTTCTCAGGGGGATCAGATTGATACCGAGAACTTGTTTCAGCCCTCAACGCAGACGGGCTCGTTTGATGTAATTCTCGCAAAGAGAATATTGCGTGCCGAGGATAAGTCGGACCGAGTTTGTAGTTCTTGTGGAAGGAAAATGAAAACCCTTCATCAGTTGTATTCATTTGTGTCAAGCGNTTGAACGACGCACTACGAAAGGCATACAAATGTTTGCAAAAGTTCGTCCCGATGGTTAAAAAACGGCCAATGACACTTGATTCCTCTTCTAACTTGCTCTATCAACATCATATGTCTGTTAACAAAAGCAGGAGCCTATGGCTGCTGTCTAGGAGGTCACTCACTTCTTGTTTATTCAACTAAAGCTTTTAAAGTGAAAGGAATGGAAGCATGAAAATGATTTCTGAGTTAAACTATTTGCAAAATACGTCATTGATGATAATTTATGCATTAGGTTCGGCACGTGAAAATGTCGACGTCTGAATCTAAGCCGTTCCAAGTCGCAATACTAGGCCGGGTTAGGCTGAAACAACGGCCAAGCAGTTCCAAATTGAAATAGAATTTATGCAGACGCCGAATGTTTCGCGTACTTAATTAATTCCATGTAATTAGGCTCGGCACATGTGAAGTTCAGTGTCATAACTAGGTTAAGACTAAGTTATAAGTTGGACTGTTTCTTTAAAAGTCTTTTAGGCCCTGTTCAGACACCACCCCACTTACGTGCCGAACCTAATTGAATAGAGGAGGAGAAGTGTAACGTCACGTTACCATGGTAGCAAAGTTTTTGGATCACAGCAATGGAGAGCTTAAGTAACGACCATAGCCTGCGAGCAAGCTCTCCTATTTGGGCGAGTGAAACGAGTCTCGCGAGAACGCGCGAGCGAGCGGCGAAGCCGCAAGAGGCAGAGGAAAGGAGAGCTTGCAACGATCCCTTACAAATTGTTATTTGTACTTCGCCCAGATGAAGGGAAATACCATTGGCTGAAAAATGGCGTTCCGGAAATCAAAGTTGATTGATAACAGGCCAAGCTGGCACCCGCTTCGTCTGTGTGTCAGATTTGGTTCTCAGGGGGATCAGATTGATACCGAGAACTTGTTTCAGCCCTCAACGCAGACGGGCTCGTTTGATGTAATTCTCGCAAAGAGAATATTGCGTGCCGAGGATAAGTCGGACCGAGTTTGTAGTTCTTGTGGAAGGAAAATGAAAACCCTTCATCAGTTGTATTCATTTGTGTCAAGCGCCTTGTTTTAAGTTCTGAAAACCGGGAGAGTGAAAGTGAAGAGTGATTAAAGCGCTGTCTTCTAACATCGGTTTCTTCGCCCGATTGAATTCTACTGGTTAGAAAAACTCAGAAACATGTACTTGACAGTGTAGCTGTGTGGCTTGATCGTAAAGAAGGAAAAGAGAAAGAGTTGGAAGCAACTGGAGTAAACCTTAAGAGAACCAAGTGCAAGAAAATGCTATTCTCCAGTTCCATACGGACAAATATATGATGTCTTTGTTGGTGATTGCGATGGGGAGTAGTCTTCTACGCTGCAGTATGGACGACTTTTCAAAAGTAATCGAAAAGAGAATCAAAGTAGTGAGTTGTTATCCGAGCGGACACGTTGAAGTTCGATGTCCCCGAGAAAAAAAAAACATATCAGTGATTAAAAACATTGCTTTAATGCTGTTGCGAAAGCGATTTATAAATAAATAATTCTACGCGCCCTCGGCTGTCTAAACTTACTTGACAGGCGGTTGTCACTTTTCTAATCTGCAGCACGTTTGCGGTGACAATTTTCACGCTTTGCGGAGTCCCGGGGTTCCCGTGGTGGAAATGAAAATTTATGAGAGATCGTGAGAGCCTGCTCGCAGGCTATAACGACCACGGCGACGGCAACAAGAACGGCAAAAAATCCGTAAGTTTATATTAACAAAACAACAACTTTGGACGTACATCAAGCTTTTTACCCATCGTTGCATGACTGCGATATGAAATTTCCTCATTTCACGCGCCCCCTTCATGGAGTACGTAAAAACAACACAAAAAATTTCGTTTTCTTTTTTGAAACAATGCGAATTCTCTGTTTGAGTGAATTTTCCGTTTCTTGTCATCCAAATATTTTGCTACCATGGCAACGTGAGTAGCGACTTCTTATAATCTCTATTTGGTCCTACTTTGGAGCGACATTGGCGCTGCCACTGATTCCGTGAGACGGCGTACTGCGTGTCGATCGATCCTTACCTTGATTTCGTGTACAGAGAAAGAGGAAGGCCAGAGTACAATACCATATTTTTGTGCCATAATTGAAAATTTTAGCCAGATAGCGGTTCATTTGAATCATTACATTCGACATTTTCGTGCTCTTTCACTGTCTGTAACTTTTCGGAAACATAGCTCACAATATGCAACTGAACTGCCCACTATCCAGCCCTTGACAGAACAAGGAATTCAGAAGTATTCTTGGCACCATAAATAAGTTTTTTATCTTTTGTATTCCTACCACCGTGAATAAGTATATTTTTGTATTCATAAAACAAGATGAGCAAGATTGTCCTTCTTTACCCGCCATTTCCCTCAATTGAGTGTTCTGCGCTTGGCAACTGCCTAAAAACGAGCGGAATTGTTGGAATTGTTGGTTGGCACTTGATAGGAGCGCCGTATGAATCACCTACCGCTCGAATGACGTATAATGCGAGTACTGACTGTGTTGAATTTGGCGTTTTTGCCACACTAAATTAAAACTGCTGTACCAAATTGATTCAGCCGAGGCCCTTTTGCTGTATTTAAGTCATCAGTTAGGTTTGGCACATGAGTGGAGCGACTTCTTAACCGAACCTTAATTAGCTATGTGTTGTTCCCCGTGGTGGTAACATTACGTCAATTCAGTTTTTAGAAGGTTGATAAAACGGGGAAAGGGGAACGGGGAAGGACCAAAGAGAACGGGAAAATGAAAAATGGGAACAAAACTTAACTTGAACCCTAGCCCTATCAGTAAATTCATTACCATTCTCTTTCTCGTTCTTATTTTCATTTTTCCGTTGCCCGTGCTCATTACCCATTCCCGGTTCCCTGTTTTAGTAACATCTGTTATTAATCTCCAGGTTTTTACTACGTATGTACCCCAGGTATCATTGACGTATAGAGCCATCTTCGTTTTGACTCCCACAAGGTGCAGTAAGGATCTTCTGTCACTCGTAATTTAATGACATGTGTTTTGAGCATCTATCAAGTGACTCCAATGCACAGCTTTGGAGCAAAGCGTTTTGACCTTCGACCGTTGTCGACCGCACTCCGTAACCTTCGGTTATTACTAGTTTCAACTAATTTTATGTCTTTGGTTTTCCTTCTTCTATTGCTTCTTAACTCAGCTTGTCAACAAGGGTGGATTGGCCACGGGACGTCGTGTTATAAATTGGTTACGCCATCTAAAACTTGGGAAAACGCAAAGAGGGAATGCGAAAAAAGGTATGCCAAATTGGTAAAGGTTGAATCTCGTGAAGAAAATGATTTCATAAAAACGTTGCTTTTGCCGACCGACAAAGACGGTAATTACTGGATTGGACTTTCTGATTCTGACAACGAAGGTGACTGGATGTGGACGGACGGAACTCAATTGGATTCGGAT